GAGAGAGAGAGAGAGAGAGAGAGAGAGAGAGAGAGAGAGAGAGAGAGAGAGAGAGAGATTATGCAAGAGAATTGCAATGAAGAGTTTGCCTCCCAAATAACTGCTGCTATCATTTGCTGCCATGGTGTTGCCTTTGTTGCAAGCTTTGTTCACCCAGCGCTACATTCTTAGTATCTCGCCACACTTTGGTTATATTAATAAAGCTCCTCTGTCATATTCCATCTTTCTTGACATGAACATTCTTTTAACTACCCAGTCTATCTATTAAAACTTGTTTTCTTTGCTGATGTGGTTTTTAAAACTAGTACCATAAAATCTACTCAATGTTTATCTTCTGAAACTACAGAATTTCTGTTGGATCTTTTTATTATCTTTATGAAGGTGAACTTGCCACCCTGAAGTCTTAGTGCAAAAGTATCCCTTTCAAAATTGGCAGACCTGATTATATCTTATGCATTAAAATTTCAGTAAATTCGAATCTGAATGGCTTTTATCAAATCCTTCTATTAATCACTATTCATTTTTTTTTAGTATCATGTAGAAAAACTGAATTTCTTATTAGATGACTACTTAAGTCATTATATTATGTGTATCCACACAGTTCATGGTCAAGAAGAGTACCAAACTTTCAAAACACTTACAATTATTAATTTACTTACATACAAATATGGTAGAGATGTAGCTATGAAGCATATCACGTTAACTATGTACTAAGACTTCAAAAATGGTCAGAAATTCAATATAATGTAATTTGAGATGTTTAACAGTATCACCTGAATTAAAATCAAGGCACTACGGGTTTTTGTTTTATTTCAAATGACCCTGAATCATTTCTGATTAAATGAAGGTCAATATTTTCTAAGGAGAATAAAAAGATTCCAACAAATTCCGAGGTTACATTTCTCCCCACAGAGGTTAAAAAGTGCCTACAATTATTAAATTCAAATATATTATTGTGCAAATTACTCCTATATTTGAGACATTCTTGAAAATTACTTTTATATTTTTAAACCTTATTTTTTACATAAATATTTCCAACTATTTATCATATCAAAAGATAGCTTTGGGGAAGTAAAATTCCAAACCATCCTCAATAGTGCAGTGCAAATTCCTATTTTTTCCAAAGGGAAAAAAGTGAGTACTTATGAAATGGTATTTATGAAATTGAATGTCTTGAACTCTCAAAATGCAGAGTTTCTTCAATAATTTAACTGCAAGAACGCCACAAACCAGCACGCTATATTACCTCATTGAACAAACTGCGACATCACACATAAACCACAAACAGGAGACTTGTGCCCACATTACAGGTGATGGAGCATGAAGACAAACACAGATAAACAGATGAAAACAGCAATCTGAGCATTGTGTGAAAATTTAGGGGGGCATATTCAAACAGTTTCATGCATCATATAAAATACTCTGCTCTCTCGGCTTTTATCCAGACATATACACAGTATTTTACAGTATCTGTACAATAAAGATTGATTCCACACAATAGTCAGAAAATATTTACTGTCCCATAATATGAAAAAATTAACTTCCGTTTGGAGCATAATTGCAGGCATACTTTAAAAAAAAACCTGCTGTAGCAACAGCATGTCCATTGTAACACTTAATCTGATAGAACTGTTAAAAACATCAAGATATTTAAGTGCCCTATTTAGTCCACTGAACATTTTGAGACTTGATCTGAACAAGTTAACACATGGCAGCACATGCCTTTGAAGAAAAAGCAAAATACAGAGCCAGAGCAACTAGCTCCTGGCAAAGAAAGCCATCTTCCTATTCCCATCAGCCTCTCGTGCATTTATACCTATTGTACCTCCAACAGCATTCTGCGTACTATTCCTCAGCAGACACATTCCAAGCGTTTAGAAGGATATCCAATACTGCACTTTGCAAAGTCTGTAGGCTCTTCTCTATCACCAGTGCAATTATTAATGAACCAGCCTCTGCTTGCTGCTCCTGGAAGCAGTGACCCCATGCTACTGTGGCTGAACTTTAGACGCCTCTGTCATGCTGTCAGTTCTGTGTCGTGAAATCGGTTGCTGTTGCTGGGACTGATGCTGCTGGTGATGATGTGATGGGGCAAAAGTGCTTTGTTGTAGTGGGAAAGCAGCAGAAAGAATAAGTTGAGCTGACTGGTTTCCATGAAGCAACCTGGATGTCTAGAAATACATAAGAAAGAGAATTAGGTAGGACATCTTAGACCTATGGGTACAATGGCATATAATGATATCTCACAGCTTGATTGAGTGATCTTCTCCGTCTATGAAAGCAGTACATCTAATTGGTATGGTCCAGTTTATTGGCTTTCAGATGTAGTTTTTTCCTTAGTGTAACTTTGTTTTTTGACTGAATAGATGCCTTTTTTCCTCATTCACTCAGACACATCCCAAAGTATTTGCCAAAGACAATATTCTTCTCATTTCTGCTAGCCATTTCCTAGTCTTCTCTTAGTTCATTTTTTTTAGATCACCTAGTAATATATGCAAATTGCCTCACACACACTGAAAAACTATGGCAAGAAAGCAAAGAATGACTTAAGCTCACAAAAGGGGCTTGCAGTAGTCTGATGGAGTGCACTTGAGCATCTGACTTCCGTGCCATGTCAAAAGCTGCTTTTAAAATCTCTGTCTCAAAATAGAAAACTTCTTTGTGAGTGTTCCCACTGGCCGCTCCAGTTAAACTTGAACTCTCTCCCTCTCCTCTCCCTCTCCCTAAGATAGGCCACCTATGAGGAGAAATATAGGAGAAGCTTAATGTGGCTCAAGGAAGAAGCAATGGTAGCCTTTTAAAGCAACAGTTTGTACCATAGATGCATAGAAGTTGGAAGAATGTATGAGTCTTTTCAAAGAAGGTGTTTCCATATGCTTTCATTTTAGGAAATGCAAATAAAGCAAATCACGGCGAAGAACATCTGGAGAGCAATGCCCCTGCTTCATCATTTACTTTCTTTTCCTGAGCTCCTTCAAGTGTGGACTTAAAAATCCACTCTTTCAAGGACACCACATGGCATGTTGTTTGTTTGCAATTAATATCTGCACCAGTGTATACCATGTGCACTGCATACTTACAAAAAACCCAAGTTGTATAACCTCATCTGCCTATGAAAGAGCATCCTTCAGCATAGCATATTTGAAATGATGTCTCATTTCATGAATTGTACACACATCCACAGGCTGTTTGTATGGGACAGATGCATGGCATTACCTGCAGGAACTGTTGTGGGTGCTGGGCCAGCTGAGTTTGAGTTGGTTGCTGAACTGTAGCAAGTTGCTGCTGCTGTTGCTGCTGCTGCTGCTGCTGTTGCTGCTGCTCCTGCTGGCTCTGCTGCTGCTGGCTCTGCTGCTGCTGCTGCTGCGTTATTGATAATGTCTGTGGCTGCTGCTGTTGTGCAGCAAAAGTGGGATAGGCAGTCACCACCTGTCCCATGAACATAGTACTTGGTACCATTACTGCTCCGCATGCCACAGGGGCAGTGACTAATTTTGTTACAAGCTGCTGGCCCTGGGAAAATCTGTTAATGGAAAGAAATACCAGTTGCCTCACTAAAACAAACTTCACAAAAATCAGTTTGTTCAGTGCTCACTATGCTGTCAGTCTCATTTGAGGCATTATAGCAGCTCAGCTGATCAAATGAAGGGCCTGTCTAACTTAGTAGCCTGTTTCTAAAAAAAAATAAAAAAAATGCAAAATACAAGTATTTCCAAGATAGTAAGCAAAAGTAGGTGTCAGGCAAAGTTCCTTTAGGAAAGCATTCCAAAAGCAGGGCAGTGCCACCTAAAAGGCCTTCTCTCTTCACTTACATAGGGAATTTGAAGATAAAACTCAAGAGGCTTCATTCAGCCATTGTGGTTAACAGTTCTAGACAAGTTCAACACATCTTTCATTTCTTTTCTCAGTTTATCACACCAAATGCATTTTCCATTTCAAGTGAGCTTGTAATAGGAACCTTTTTCCTATCTAAGTCTCCTTTAAAATAACTGATGCTAAAAAAGAAAGGTCTCCAGGCAACATTCCTATTAAAAGGCATTATCATATATAGTAATAGTGAATTCAGTTACAATGGCTATGTAGCCAAAACTGAGCTCCTGAAAAACAAGAGGGTGGTATCTGTATGCTTGGGTAACTCCAAGGTTTACAGAACAAAACAGTAAGGTAGAAAACCTAAAGCAGCAAAACACAAAAATAAGCAAGCCAACCACCCCACTCCTCGCAAATTTGAAAAGCTCTAAGAAGACTGAGCATGCCTGGTAGCCACAGAGTTATACTCCATTCTATTCCACTTTCCTCTTGAAAGTGGGATGGAATGGAGTGCCCTGAAAGAAGGCAGGATACTAGGATTATTTTGTGGAAGGCTGTTTCCCTTAACACTTACCTGATTTGTCTGTCCTGGGAAAATGTGGTAATGGCAGCATTCTGGTTATTACTTTGCTGTAAAGTAGAAGGAATCTGGACCACGTTTCCTGCAGCCGGCTGGGAAATCACCATAGTGTTATACAATGGGGTTGACAGTGTGTTTTGAGACTGATTAGTAAGAGAGGTCTGTTGACTGTGCCCTCCAAGAATGTTTTGCTGACTATGCTGCAGAAAGAATACACTTTGTCAACAAGACTATTCAGCATGACTCAACAGATTTAATCCACCATCTTCCCAAATTGTAGAAAATCACAGACTAAGTCACTTGGGTTAAATAAAAATGATGATTACTTAACTACACTAATTGTGTGAAATTAATTTTTGAGCTTTGGTATGATTCTACAGATGGCATTAGACTTCTAGAAACTCCTGTCATAAGACAGAATCTGCAGCCCTAAATGAGTTCTGACATTAGTAGGAACTAGAAAAAGATGCTTTTATTGAGCCAACTAATTATTAAGGGGTCACCATAAGGAATTTCTTGTGAGAAGGATGGTTTAAGTAAGTTCAAACAATGGGGAGAGAGAAAACGAAATTACCTGTATTACAGAAGATTTATATATACATATTTTCTTTTTAACAAATCAGAAAAACATTTTAACATTAATTTATTTAAAGAGCCTCAGCAGTTTCACAATACTGATCAGGCAGTAATGGCAATGTATGAAATATTCTGAGATATTCCATTCTGTTCCAGAATCAGAGCTGGAAAAACCATTATTAAGGAATCTTAAATGTATTAATTGAAGTGAGGCAGAGGACATAGGTCCACCATGTTCACATCAGATATGAGACTCTTTAAATCGAGGATTATAATAGATAGACCAGGGCCTCAAGAATCTGTTCAAATTTTTCCAGTACAGTTAGGTTACAAATGTATTAGTTCAATGCAAACAAACACATGAATTCCTGTCTTCCCTGTAACCCACCAGTAACTGAGCTGTCTGAGTAGGGAAACAATGTGAAAACCCCTATTTCACTGAGTCATATCTTCACGATTTTCACCTAAGCATGTTAGTTACCTGTGCTGTATTACTTTGTAAAGGCTGCTGCTGTATCATGTGCTGAGTTCCAATATGCCCAGTGTTTATGCCACCTTGGATCTGATTTGTTTGAACAACTTGACCCTGCATATTTATTGGTGTAATCTGTTGAATATTTGAAGGGTTTCCAGGAGTCAGCTGCACAGAACCAAAGTTTAACCCAGGAGTTGACTGATGCAAGAACATCTTTTGAGGAAAACAGAACACACATCAGTGCTTAAAATACTATTAGCATCCAAAACATATGTCATTTTTAAAAGTAATTGTATCTTTGGTTTCTAGAAGATATACACAATTATTTTATCTAATAACAGTTGTATTAAGCTATTAGAAACGTGAGGCTTAAGGTGCAACCTATACACACTTACCTGGGAAGAAGCTGCATTGAAAGCAATGAGGTTTACTTCTGAATAGACATGTACTATTGTACTATTGTACTATTAATCTGCTAAAGGAAAAAAGTCTCCACATCTATATATTCTAAATTGTGATATATTGTCTATCTTAAATCATTAGTTAATAGCAGAACTTGTAATTATATAGAGAGGTCCAAGCTTATTAGTAACTCATATGAATCGTTGCTCCAGTAAAAAAAGATAACTATTAACAGATCAGACTAAATTATATCACATAAAAGCTACATTTCTCTCCAGGGTATGTTATTCTGCAGAACCAACCAACATGTACTAATTGCGTTTTAGTAATGTTGTGAACCATTTTAAGGACTTCAGGTGAAAAACGGAGTACAATTCTACCAAATTAAATCAATTAATGGCAATGCTGCCTTCCCCTGTCAATTCTATCTAGACATAACCATGTACTCCAGCACAAAGAAAAGTTCAACCAATACATTATTTGCTGAAACCACTGGTGAAGAGAGCAACAAGTGACAGAAGCTAGTTCCAACATTGTGCTAAGCACACCATAGACAGAAAGCACCTGGCTTATTCCCCCATATCTACTGGCAGGAAGAGGTAAGCAGAAGTGAACAAGCAGAATACACCAGTATGCTTCCCTATTCACAGTATGCCAGAATTATGACATTATGTATTAATAAATTTATTTATTAATCAGAATTAATAAATGATGTATGAATGTAGCCACCTTTTCCTATCTCTCTCTCTCACTCATACACACAGAGACATTAAGTATAGAAACACTAGCCATGTTAGTGTTTGATCAACTTAATCCAACCTGGAGCCCTTGACCATGGACCATTTGGAGTTGTTCCTGAATCTTACGCAGCTCTTCTTGTTGGCGATGAATGTTTGCTTCTATTATGCGTGTTCTTTGTTCCAACTGGTCCTTTAAGTGCTGCATAGCTCCCAGTTGAGCAGAAAACTGAAGCATGGGCTGTAGAGATATTTAAGTAAAACATAAGAGTGATCAGAATCAGTAATGAATATGCCAAAGGAAAAGTAATCAGCTGCTACATAAGCACTTCTGCTATCCGTCTTTTGCACACAGAAGTAATCATTTAGCTAAAAGCCATACAATGAGTTATTTGAGAATGTACCCTCTTTGACAAGCATCCAACACAGGAAGATATTGACCATTTTAGAGAAAATGTAAGAAATATAGTTGAGACAAAACTAGACTTGCTGTACCTAGAGAAAAGAGATCAGCTAAAGGGAACCATTAACGAAGGGGCTTTCTTTCCAGCTCCCACTTGTACAGGTGGTGTCCAAAAGAACTAAAATGGCAATGTAAATCTTGTTTGAGCAACTGAATGGGTAAAATCTATTGTGACAAATAGATTCATCTGTTATTTATAGGCTATAGAGCCAACTTGGAGCATAAGCAAAACCTCATGTCTCTGGAAAAAGATTAAGTTGCAAACAACCATTTCTGATTCAACATGAAAATGTCCCAAGTATAGTGGAGCAAGTCCTCATTAACAATCAGTGCCCAGGTGATGGTTTAAGTGCAATTTGGAAGAGAATTTAATTTTTCTCTTTGCAAAAGATAAGCTTTTAAACTGAATTTTGGGGTTCAATTCACTGGCAAGACTGAACAGAGAAATAATATTTTTCCCCAGATAACAGATTTCACATTTTATTGACTTGAAAAGTTTGGGAAGATGTCCCCACTCCCACCACACACAGATATGTTGAATCAGGACAATTCAGTATCTTCACTGAAATTAATGAATTTTATTGAGCTATGCTCCTGATCCAGACCCCAAAGCACTTTAATAGCTCACTTGTGAACTATTACATTTTAAGAATAGTGTGGTGAACAAAAAAGCGCCCAAACTCTCTCATTAGAGGAAAAAGGTAATGAAATACTAAGCACAATTTTATATAAATATTATTGCCTAATATTTAATGTGTTTTCTGGAAAAGTAAAAAGCCACTGCCAATCTCTGCTCAGACTTTTCAGGAAATGTTTATTCCTCAGGACACCTTCTCCCCACCCCTAAATCAGTGCCTTAATTTCATCCATGCAAATAGATTATCTCTGAGACAGTGCTAACCAATGCCATCCTTATTATAGAGCCTGATTGCCCTGAGGGTCAGTTTTCTAGCCTCCATACTAAGGTATGAAGAGTTCATTAGCACTTGCAAATACAGAAATTGCTCATTCTTGTTCTCCATATACCCAAGTATTAGTAACCAAAAGGAATCATATTTTGAGAATTGTCTAATCAGAATTGAAAGTGATTCTGATCAGACAATCAATCCATACAGACATTATTTAACATTTTAAAAAAAGTTTAAAATACCAATATGTGCTATGAGTTGTCTGAGTAATGTTTAATCATATCGAAATTCACGGCTTAAATTCTTCATCAAATAAAGATCTAATTTTGTTTTTGGTTTAATTATCTGCTTTAATAAACAGGCAGAGTTACTTGGTACCTGTGACATGCTTTGCTGAATCTGTAGAGTTGTAGGCTGGGACATCATTGGTTGTGCTAATGGTTGTCCAATAGCTTGTGAATTTAATGACTAGAATTAAAAAAAAAACATACTGTAACTATTATATCAAACTTTTTTCTTTACAAAACACTAATTTCTAAACTGTACTTAGGGAAGGTGAGGTTTCAAAAGCACATGCACAAATGTTCCTGTCTTCCTATATCTCTGTAATTGAAAATGATTCTCCATCATAGGAAGACTAGAAGGAGTCTGAACCACTTTAACGCATTTGGTGCTTTCAGTTTTCTGTTTCTGATCTGCCCATATGTAAACATTCATACATAAATAACCAAATGTAATAGTTGTAAATCCCAAGGAGATGGACAAAGAACAAGATTCCAAAGCAGAAGCTTCACAGAGGTCTCTGGTTTAGCTTGCCTTCCTTTCTTGCTCTTGTGGGATAGACTAGCTTTTCATAAGCATCTTCAGGCACACACAAAACTGATATTTACATTATAAAGAAAAGCACAAAACTCAACATTATATATAATGAATATGAATGTCATGAATACATATACAATTAATCTTTACCATTACCAAATCTAATTTCTGTTCAAATCTGGAATTATACTCAAAGATTGTTAAAAGACCAGTAACACTGGATGATAAAAGGACTTCGTAAAACTGGAACATGGAAGACATATGTAGGCAGACTCAAAATCTCCAAGCAGACAAATGACAGTTTCAAAGAGGATCTCTCCAAACTGGGTGATTAGGCAGGGATTATGTTCTTTGCCTTCATTCTTCTAAAAATGTGAAATCTAAAGTTCCTATCCCTTGATACATGAAAAAGATACATTATTTTCAATGAATTACCTGATTACTAAGTGAAGCCCTTCTTTGTGCAGATTTTTCATGAGCGGGTATATTTTGCCTTGGAGGAGTGCTAGTATCCACTGTCATCTTTGTGGGCGTTGCTGAAGTCATAGCCAATGTAAAATTGAAGAGAGATACTTTTATTCATCTTCACCTTCACCCTGAGCATACACATACATACTTGGACAAAACATTAGTTTATTGCAAAGGTACTGTAGATTTTTGCAAAACTGATAACACCACTGGGATACTATTAATTATACTTTGCTTTTACAGTCATATGATGTCTTTAGTAATTATGATATCATTAATATCACAGAAAGAGATTTAAGTCAAGTCAATCCCATACATAACAAATTTCCATTCTCAACACTCACATGAAGGGTCTGAGACTGCAGTATGAGAAGATTTTCTTGAACTCCTGGAGGAGGCAGAAGGTGTGGGGCTGTTATCAAATCTCTCCAATGCTTCTTTCAGGCTCACTGTGTTTATATGGTTGTCAGAACCAGAGTCCTGACTCTGAAACAATAAAAACATTTTAGCTGAGTATTTACCCCACAAAATTAGGAAAAACTAATTATTTCTTTACAAATATGAGGCTAAACAGTGAATGCAAATTTCCAGTAACATATGTACTATCTTCCTCTAATGTATTTCAACTCTGCTTGCCATTCCACAGGGCCATGAATCCAAGCCCTGCAACACTGGGAAGTTAATTAGTGGCATTGTGCTATGTCTCACTCTGAGGACCCTTTACACTGAGGCAAGGGGTGGCTAGTTGCTCTGGAGAGTCACATGGGAAACGCCTATGCTGTGAAAAAGACCACAGCAAGAAAGCAGCTGATGCTGCTCTTTGGAGTGGCAATGGCATTAACGTACACAGCAGAGGGTGCTTCAAATGCTGCCACAAGGGAGAAGCAGGTGCAATTTCTGAAGTGCCAAGCCAATATACTGTTGAGAGACCCTCTATTATAAGGCTTCGTAAGGCTTAAAGTGCAACTCTATACACACTTATCGGGGAGTAAGTCCCACTGAACTCAGTGGGTCTTACTTCTGAACAGATTTGTAAAGGATCGCATCATTCCAGTAACATTAATTTTTCAAAATTCCGCATGTGCCCATAGAGACAAAAAACTTAGGCACCTTTGTCTGTGCAAACTCCAGTGTAAGTGGACACATCACAATGACTCAGAACTAAGAATATAGGAGTATCCATACTGGATAAGACCAAGGGTTCACTTAGTCAAGCATTCTGTACAAACCAGCTGCTCATAGCAATTCCACAAGCAGGACATCAGTGTGACAGCACCTTCCTGGCCATGCTCTCCAGCAACTGCCACACATATTGCCCATGCTGCCTCTGATACTGGAGGCATAATATAAGCAATTGTACTAGTGATGAATTTGGGCAATTTCCTTTTAAAGCAGTCCAAACTGGAGGCTGTTAACCACAATGTGTGGCAGTGAACGCTGTAGTTTAACTACATACTATATTTCCTTTTATTTTGGGATAACCCTGGTTCTAGTAGTGTGAAAGGAGAAAAAAATCTCCCTCTCCACTTTCACCATACTATGCATAATTTTGTACACCACTATGCATCTTTATTCCAATGCATGTACCCTACTTGCTTTTTCTCAATGATTGTGATCATCTGTTGTATGTTTATTTGTGAAACAGAAAGAAAGGGACAGAAAGATTCTGGGGGATAAACCAGAGAGTGAGAGGTTTGGGGAAGAGATGATCTATAGAAAGCAGAGGGAAGAGGATGGACTGAAATGCCCAAGTCTCATGGCAGTCATGTTATGATAGTATTAATGTTGCTTTTTCAAAATTTCAGAAGGGCCCAGGGGCTCCAAAAAGTTAAGGACTTGTTGAAGCATTACATATCAAAAATGAAATTGAATCAAAAGATGTATTCTTATGTTCATGAGCTTGTGCTAGTGCTTATGCAAGTGAAAGCATGAGAACTATTGCATAATTTGCATACAATAGCATTGAACAAACTACTTGTGTGGAACAATAGCTCCACCTACCATCCTTTGAATCTAATCCAACATTAGTTTTGAGTGTTTACATCATACAATAAGGGATGTATTGCATGTTACATCATACAATAAGGGAATCGGAATAAAAATCCTGCCTGTAAAAACTATGATAACGAATGACAGAGAAACTTGAACCATGTTTTGGTAAATACATATGCAAGTAAAACACACTTAAGTTTATTTTTAAAGCGCAAATTAATTTTTAAAGCATTGAGGTACATCAGTGAAAAGAACTAATATAAGAGACAGAGGAAAGCTTACTTTGTCTGCTGGTATGTCTGGCAGGGATTCTTCAATACCAAGTTCACGTCGCCTTTCTGCTCGAACCTCTGCATAACTACAGATAAATACACAATTTTTCAGGAAGTTGTGTCAGATTAACTTACTAAAATAATAAAAATATTTTATGCACCATACTTTTAAAGTCATTTTAGAAAAGCACACAGTTCTAAACAAATGCAGGCATACATTTTTAATTATGACTATCTCAGAAGAAACTGCACATTATCCTGCTGTGCTCATGTGTCAACGGGACTGACCACTTATGCAACAGGAAATTTACATGTCTAAAAACAATTCAAAATTAATGGAAATGCTCATTTCTGGAATGAGGTCAGTGGGATTCTC